AGCCATGAAATTAAAAGACGCCTGCTTCTTGGTAGGAAAGCAATGACAAACCTTGACGGCATCTTAAAAAGCAGAGACATGACCTTGCCAACAAAAGTCCGAATAGTAAAAGCTATGGTTTTCCCTGTCGTGATGTATGGAAGTGAGAGCTGGACCATAAAGAAAGCAGACCGCCGAAGAATTGATGCCTTTGAATTTGGTGCTGGAGGAGGCTCTTGAGAGTCCCCTGGACTGCAAGGAGAACAAACCTATCAATTCTAAAGGAAATCAACCCTGAGTGCTCACTGGGAGGACAGATCCTGAAGCTGAGGCTCCAGTACTTTGGCTATCTCATGAGAGGAGAAGACTCCTTGGAAAAGATCTTGATGTTAGGAAAGTGTGACGGCAAGAGGAGAAGGGGACAACAGAGGATGAGATGGTTGGACAGTGTCTGCGAAGCAACCAACATGAAATTGACACAACTACGGGAGGCAGTGGAAGATAGGAGGGCCTGACGTGCTCTGGTCCATAGGGTCACAAAGAGTCGGACACGACTAAATGACTAAACGAACGAACGAACATCATAGTATGTACACAAAAGTAGTGAAAGTGACAAAACAATTATTTCTGAAATAAATCTGGATTTGTGTGAAACAAATGGACTAGAGAGCTAAAGGTTTGTGCCAAGCATTATCTGTTTCTCTTGTTGACTTATATCCCAAGTTCACAAGGCATAACTTTTGCCTGACCTCAACTATTTCATCTGAACTGAGCCCAAAAGACAAGAAAACTGAGATGAAATTGGCCAAGGAAAGGCATTCTTAGCCACAGTAATTTGTGCAAACTCACTCAGGGGAAAAATCTATTTAACATGCAGAAAGACAACAACAACAGTAGTATACACTATTTCCTTTAGGAAACAATGATTTTTAGTTCCTCTTGACATATTAGTTTGCCTGAATCTCTATAAAAAGAAATTTCCTACCATTATTTTTTTTATATAAAGCCACAATTCAATTCAAGTTAGAAGTTGTATCTTGAAAGAAAAGAAACAGCTCAGCTGCTTTGGCTGAAGAAATATCATATTTTGTTTTGTCTGTCTGGGAATATTTTAAAACTATAACTAATGTTTAAATATAATAGGCAACAGAATGCAGATAAGGTAATGAAAACTGATGTAGAATATTAACCCTGCAAGAATGGTAAATCTGAAAAGGTAGCATGCCCAATCAGTTCTACCTGTCCTACAAAGTGGCGGATTCAGATTTTTGAAGAGACACTGAACATCTCTTGCTCTCCTCTGAAGTGAACACTGTTCAGGAAAACTGCAGCTTTACTTGCATCTCACAAAAATGAGGAATTAAGAAGATGAGGAATTAAGAAAATTAGGAAAACAAGAATTAAAAAGTTTTTGCAGAGATTGATACCTAGAAAAAGTAAGGCAAGGTCTGAAAATAGTCTGCAGAGGGGCCAAGGATGCCTACATTTATTTATTTATTTATTTATTTATTTATTTATTTATTTATTTATTTATTTATTTATTTATTTCCCGCCTATCTGGTCGGGTCAGGACCACTCTAGGCGGCAAAAGAGGAGAGGGCTTCTCTGTCAGCTGGCATTTGTAGGTACTAGCTGACAGATGGTAAGTTTCTGTCCATCCTTTTCCCCACGTGGATAAAGGGGAAGAGAAGCAAAGTGCTCCCAAACAATATTATTTATTTATTTATTTATTACATTTATACCCCACCTATCTGGTCATATTGACCACTCTAGGTGGCTTACAACACACAAAGGAAACAAATATATAAAAACAATATCTAAATAAAAGGAAGTTTGTAGATAATTAAAAATTTGATAAGATGGAAAAAGAGAACGTAGTAATGAAAGAAAGGGAAGAGGTCAGGGATTAACTAGGAGGGGAAGGCCTGCCTGAACATCCATGTTTTCAGTTGTTTCTTTTAAGTACCCAGCGAGGGAGCCGCGCGAATGTCAGGGGGAAGGTTATTCCAGAGGCGAGGAGCCACTGCCGAGAAGGCCCGATTTCTTGTCTTTCCCTTCCAGGCCTCCTTTGGTGTTAGCCTCCTCAGCCTCACCTCCTGGCTCGCACGAGTGACACGTGTAGACCCTGGTGGGAGTAGGCGTTCCGCCAGGTAACGAGGCCCTAAACCGTTTAGGGCTTTGTACGTGAGCATCAACACTTTGAAGTCGATGCGGAATCGGATGGGCAGCCAATGCAATGCGGTCAGAGTGGGTGAGATGTGTTGGTATTTTTTCACTCCACTAAGTAACCTGGTCGCCGCATTCTGCACCACCTGTAGTTTCCGCAGCAGCCTCAAAGGTAGCCCCACGTAGAGCGCATTGCAGTGGTCTAATCTTGAGACTACGAGCGCATGCACCAAGGTAGTGAGTGCCCCCACATCAAGGTAGTGCCGCAGCTGTGCTAGCCACCTGAGATGAAAAAAGGTGGTGCGGACCACCGACGCCACCTGGGATTCCATGGGGGACTGCGGACCTCATCCCTGGTGGGCAGAGTCACCCCACCAAAAGAGAGGGAGTTTCCCGGATCCCCAGCTGTGGGGGGACCCACCCTCAGTACCTCCGTCTTGTCCGGGTTATTTTCCAAATAAAGAAGATGAAGCTTGAATGCCTTCAACTGATATGTACTGCACAGACCAGGATACATTTTTGGTTAGTGATCTAAAAGCAGTGGATATGACATCTGTTCCTTTGTCAGATTCATGGCCAGATCACTTCCTGTTTAAGTTGTGACTGCCAGAAGCATCCTAAAAAAGCGTCCAACTCCCCCAAGAAGGTAATGGATTCTGATATATTTCTGAGGGCTCTGAAATATCTCTTGGTCAATACAATTAGCACTCCAGTTAAAGCCCTAATTGTTTTGAGAATTGCCAATATAGCTCCTTGCTATATTCCTCAGCTGAGCGCAATGAAGCAGATCGGAAGGAAGGCAGAGGAAAACTGATGATGGGTCTAATGAGACATGCACAAGAAACATTATTGGTGAGAAGAGCAGCCATGGACAACTTTATGATTCTGGATGCCATGTTTACTTCTGAATAGGTTGCTTTAGTTGGGTCTCTAAGGCATGGCTGGGTTGTAATTCTGCCCCTACTTGGCCTGTGGGTTGTTTTTTTTCCCCAGAAAATGGTGCTGGAAGATAACTACTAAATCTCTTGTCATGCTTAGAATTCTCTATAGAGTTTAACTTTTTTGTCTAATGCTGCTAAACATCTACATGACAATACCTGAACAGGTGACCAAGAATTTTGGTCTGAGATGTCATCACTATGCCAATTACACACAGTTTTATCTTTCATTTTAATGAGATGCAAGTAAAGCTACAATTATCCTGAACAGTGACTGGGTACAGTAGAAGTACGGGACTGTGGCCGGGTGTTTAATGACTGGTGTTCAGCCTGCTCTAGATGGAATCTCAAAGATTCAGGCAGTCTGGGGGTTATTCATACAGGGGCAAAAGTGAGTTCTCTGGCTTGAAGCAGCTTCTATAATCTTTTGGCTGACAAACCAGTTTTGACCTTATCATGCTCTAGTAACCTTGTCTATAGGTAACTGAAGATGCAATTTGGCCAAAACAGAGCTACAAGATCACTATTTATGGCTAGGTGTTTGGCCATACTGTGCCTGTGCTTTGTCACCTGCATAAGCTCCAGCCCATGTCCATGTCTAAATTACAGTGCTCGTTTTAACTTTTAAAGCCCTCACAAGTTTGCAACCCAGATACCTGAAAGGCTTCCTGTTATATTTATTCACCCAAACCTAAAGGGCATCTTCAAAGCTTCGTTCATAAATAAACTGGGGTAGATAACCATTAAAGTGAGGGCATTTTCAGCTGTGAGGCCTTGATTATCAAATACCTGGAGAGGTTTGGCTGATGCCAACCATGTGGATTTTGAAGACCTTTTGAAGACACAGGGATTTTTAAATAATTCATATAGCCCAGGCCAATCAGTTTTTAAAATCTTTTTTTAACTTTTGTCTTGCTGTGAATGTTGTCGAATGGCTGCTTCTGATTTTACAGACTTTTGCTTATATTTTGTTTTGCAATATGTATATTTGTTTAGTTTACCCTAGTCAGAGAACATAACTGAAAGCTGATCAGAGGATATCACATGATGGTATACATATGCCATGAATGACTGAGAGAGTGAATGAGAGAAAGAGTGAATGATCAACCAAAGTTAATTTTTTTAATCCACAGATGTCACTGAGAGGGTTAATTATGTACCTAGATTTGTTCCATTGAAACCAGTGGAACTAACTTTGGTTGCATCATGTTTTAAAATGCCAGGAAGACATCTATGGACACAAGTACTTGATAGCTCTCAAACTATTATTTCAAAATGAAGCTGGCATAAGTAGTTCTTAAAACTGCAAAAATTATGTTCAATTTCACACAATATAGTCTCTAAAGTGCCAGTCATTGGTTTCTGTCTTCTATTGATTAAAAGTTTAGAAATCTAGTAAGTGGTTAACGCTATAAATCTAAAACCAAGTCAGCCTAATTGCTGTGAGTGTGGCTAGAGCAAACAATGTCAACTGGTACATGTAACTGAACACAGACAGGTTTTAGGCTATAATGAAGAAAACAGAAAACTTTATAGCAACCTTGCAAGGCGGCCTACTTTATTCTGCAATCACGAACTGTGGAGGACAATTTTAGATACACCCATGCACAAACATATAATTCTGCATATGTCAAACATACTCTAGATTAATGTCTCACAATCCAGATCCAAAGATCTAAATGGCTCACAGTACAACACAGTGCATTATGCATCTAATACTTAAGGAGCATGAACATTTTCCCCTCCCAGAAGCAAAACCCTTTAAGGGAAAGATCGGAACTTTAGAGACATAGTAATGCTTCCTTAATAGCTTTGCAATAATATCACGTCTAGCTGATTCAACAGTTATTTGGAATGTCACGAACTGAATCAACATTTACGCACCCATTTGCCCATGCTGGAATAGTCATGTTCTGGATCAAAAAGGTGTTGGTGAAGTTGGTACTCTTTGCTGAACTGTGCTGTATCTGGAGTGTTTTCAAGGCATCCATCATCAACTGCAAAAACATTTTGGGAAACCTGAGCTACTTGGCATATTTTAAATTATATATCAAGGAAACTACATTAAGAACACATGCAATGGATTTTATCATACGTAAATGGGTAGGAAATAAGAAAATGACATATTTTTCTTGGAAACTAGAATCTTGGGTTAATTTAAAGCAATTTCCACAAGTACTCAGAACAGACAGAAAATGAAAGTTTCCTTCCCGCCCAGTTTTTTCCTGTAGGGCTCCAGGTTAATATGGCGGTAGAACAAACTATTTCTCATATATTAACTTAGAACTGTATATTTGTATCGATAAACTTCTTGATTATGCACTTTTTATTTTGTACAGTGGTGCCTCGACTTACGAACATCCCTACTTATGACCATTTCGAGTTACGACCAGCTCCAGCCACAAAAGTTTGCTTCTACTTACGACCGGCGCTTCCATTTACGAACAGAAAAAGGCAGGAAATTCAAATTGCTAACTGTAGGTGGCGACGAGGCTGCTTCTTTGTAGCTCTTTCACCCCAGCAGTTAGAGAGTGTGCGTCGTTGTCGTAGGCTTGGGACTGCCTCCTTCTGCTTCTGAGAGCGTGTGTGTGTCTTTGCAGGGAGGCTTTGGGCTGCCTTGTAAGGTAAGGTGCTATTTTTTGCTTTTTAAAAACTGTTCTGGGTGTTTTTGCAGCGTGGTTTTGAGCTGGGGGGCTTATGTTTCTGTGCTGTGATGGTTCTTACGGGGTTTGGTTGTTATTTGGTTTCCCCCCATTTCCGATGGGTCTTGGGGTTTTTTGTTGCTTTTTGGGGGGGAGTTTCCCCATTTCCGATGGGTCTTGGGGGGGTTGTTGCTTTTTGGAGTGTTTTTTCCCCATTTCCGATGGGTCTTGGGGGTTTGGTTGCTTTTTGGGGTGGTTTCCCCATTTCCGATGGGTCTTATGGAGGTGTTTGTATTTTGGTTCCCCCCATTTCTGATGGGTCTTGGGGGATTTGGTTGCTTTTTGTGGGGATTTCCCCATTTCCGATGGGTCCTGCATGCTTCCCATGGTTTTTCCTGTTTTCTTTGCATTTCCAACCTGCCCCCTTTGTTCTCTGTGCATTTCCGATCTGCTCTGTTTGTTTTCTGTGCGTTTCCAATGGGTCTTGCACACTTGAGTGCTTTTCTCCCCCCCCCGCCACCCTTCAGCTGGAAGGGATTAATTGCGTTTCCAATTAGTCTTGAAGTCATTTTTTTGTGATTTTTCGAGTTACATCCATCTTCTGGAACGGATTATGGCTGCAAGTGGAGGCACCACTGTAGTTGGTTGCAGGCAAACTGTAGATTTGCTGACTTTTCTATACAAGTGTGGGTATATATACATTCATAGGCATGTAGGTAAGTACAAGTATTCTGGACTTTGCAAATGATTCAACCTGCAAGTGCAAGATCACTGCTCTGCTTCTACTCAGAAGATCAGCATTTGGTAATCAGCTGAGCATTAGCCAGAAGGTATGTGTATATTTCTAATATGTCAACTAACACTGGGAAAAATGGTAATGTGACACCTCTTGTGTTACAACAAAGCTTAACTACTGGTGTGTTCCAAAGCACTTGAAAAAGTTCTGTTCCCTTGCACAGAACACAGAATATAAATTAGGGCTGGTTTTTCATTATACAGATGTGAGTGGGCAAAATGCAAAATAGTGGGAGAGGTTCATAGGCAATGGCAGAATCTATCTCCTTGAAAGTAATGGGACTATATCACACTGTCTGGTAAGTAAATACAGTAGGACCCCCATATCTGCCTTGGATTGGTTCCGTGGATACTGAAAACCGTGGATAACAGTGAACTCTATCTCTCTCTCTCTCTCTTTCTGTGTGTGTGTGTGTAACATGGTAAAAGAGAAAGAAAACAGGGGAAAATCATTTTCACTTGCATTACCATAAGCGGTCACTAGAGGGCACCAAAGATCAGGCTATGTATTCTTCATTAACAAATATTCATAGCACAGTCTCTGGCTCCCTCTAGTAGCCAATTTTGGTAACACATTTGAAAATAGTTTTTTCTTGATTTTTTTCCTTTTAATATTTTCACACTGTGAATAAGTGAATCAGTGGATACTGAACCCATTCAATCTTGGTGGTGAGAGGCTTCAATGGATATTGCTAACTTACATACACAGTTTCCTTGATCCCACCATAAACTAAAAAGTCTAGATGGGGAAAGGCCTCTGTTAGCAGCCAACATCTGGCATCACACTATCCTCTTTTCCCCCCAGAATTTCTTCAGCAGATTTATCAATTCATGCATTTTTCTACCCAGCTCCTCAAGCTTTTAATAAATTCATATAAGATTATTATTTTGATTCAATGTCCCACCAGCCCCATTATTTTCAAGCTAACTGTATATTTTTAGGGGAGCCTCATGGTCTTTAAACTGATCATCCTTACCAATGTTACAAAACAAGTTTACCAAGAATGATTACTACTTCAGGAAAGAAGTTAAGCACAACAGCAGGGGCTCTACTGGTGAAGGGTTTAGGTGCCAAAATGCTTGAATGTAGCCAGTACATCTTGCCATGAAAACAACTTAGAAACCTTTTGTCTTTCAACAAAGTTGTCCCACAAACCCCACTGAGAAAATTCTTTAATACATTTAACATGCAATATGTTTTTATAGTCTCCAGTTGGCCACAGAATTGAGTCTATATTTAAATCTCTGAAAACCGCTTTGCTTAGATCCTGGTAAGATACGAGTCTTCATTCAGAATGTATACATGAAAGAGGACAGCTTCAGTTGGACAGCAGCAGTTTCCAAAGAATGTAACCCATTTTTCTCTCTCTGGATGCATTGTCTTATGCAAAAAAAAAACCTACCATTTTTTGGCAGTAATTTTAAATCAAGGCAAATGAAATAAAGCCAGTAATCTTTTTTTAAAAAAGAATAATTTTGGTGCATGTATTATTGTAATTGTGATGTTTTAACCACAAATAGAATCTCTTAAGAGTAAATACGACGGGAGGAAATGTGTGTCTGAAGGAAAAACCAAACTGATATTTTAAATGGTTTTAAAAACTATGTCAACAGTGAGAATTTAGATTCTATTCCTTTAAAAAGAAAACACAGTAATTTCACAATTAGGAAAATACTTTTTGCATTTTTTTTTCAGCATTCAGTCATGTAGTGGCTTTATGTAGCTTACCTGTTTTTCCAACTGGGCAAGGATTTGGAGGATCTGGGTACCCCTGATCTTCACTGAAATCTTTAGGTATATTATCGCCTGTCAATTCAGCCACAATATTTGGGATGTTTCCATAAGGACCCAAATGCTGCAGACCTTCATGTGCACCACCTAATGGAGACAGAACACACAGTCTTTTGATAATACGAGGAAGATTCGTAATACCTTTGGTGATAAAGTCAACCCCAGTTACTCCCTTAAAGCTGAACAAAGTGTGGTCCTTCTGGGTGCTATTGCACAGCATCTCCCATCAGCCCTAGCCAGCACAGCCAAAGCACAGCCAGAGGTAAAGAATGTTGGGTCTTGGAGTACAACTTTTGGAAGGCTGCACTTTCTTCACACCTGCCGTAAAGGTGCTAAATTAGGAGTTAGACATCTCTCTGTGGAATCAGAGGTTGGGAGTTTGATTCCTCTCTGTGTTTCCTGGAAGACAAGCCAGGTTATGTAGCTTTGGGAGCTAGAAGGGCACCCTTAGAAGATGGAATGATAAATTACTTCTGAGAAGTCTATACGTAGAAAACACTGAAAAAGGTCACCATAGATCAGAATTGACTTGACAGTATGATGTTGTTGTTGTTGTTGTTGTTGTTGTTGTTGTTGTTGTTGTTGTTGTTGTTGTTGTTGTTGTTGTTTGTATGACAGATATTAAAGCCTCCCTTTATTCCAGAATTAGGCAACCTGTGCCCCTCCAGTAATGATTGGACTCCATACCAGTCCCAACCACTACAGACAATGATCAGAGCTGTTCAATAACATCTGTAGAACTGTAGGAGCAATAATACTGTACTTGGGAGAGCCATAGATTCTCTAATCCTGTCTTATTGATTTTTTACTTCATTCTGTATTAACTTTTCCTAAGTTTTAGAATCTAAGAGAGCATTTCACTGTGTTACAGCCACTTCATTTATACAATTGAAATGATATTCTTCAATATGGGCACTAGAGATGGGCAAGAAACAACAAATTGGAAAAATTATTGAAAATCACTAATTAATTGATTCGTGTTTATCAAACACAATGATCCTGACAAATACGAATGGAGAAATTTTTAGCGATGTTAGAGTTATGAATCCTTCTCAAATAAAATAAAATAAAATAAAATAAAAGGCCTGTGGAAGCCTTTTCAAGATGGCAGCAGCAGTGGCAGCAAAATGTAGGGATGCTATGGGGGCAGTGGGAACAGGCAGGGGGCAGTGAGTGTCTCTAGGTGCCTAGGGAGCCCATTTATAGGGCCGATGAACTGATTTATGGTTCATCAGAAAAAAAGTTGTGGTTTGCAGACTTTGATGAACCATGAACCAAGACAAACTGCCATTTTGCTGGCCTGTGTCCATCTTTAATATGCACTAACATGTAACTCAGATTCATATTGAGGATGACACTTACCTAGCTTTATCTACCTATCTAGAGGTAGACTATTTGCCCTTTACCCTCTCTTTCTTTTATCATCATCTTCTCTTCCTTTCCCCATCTTGGACTCTGTGATTAACTTGGCTCTTAACCTTACTTAATTTTTATGTTATATGTAAACCGCCCAGAGTAGACATTTTCTAGATGGGTGGTATAGAAATCTAATAAAGAAATAATTAAATTTATTCTTATCTTCCAAAAGCTTCTGTAGACACTCCTTTCTATATCTGCCATCTAAGGAAGGAATACTGGGTTTAATGAGTCATTCCTGAATCTGCTCATAAATTGTACACTCTAAGATAACATGACTCAGTGTCTCTATAGTCCCCTCAGCATATACACACAATCGACTCTTGTAAGGAAACTTACAGCAAACTTAATAGGGCTTTCAAGGCAAGTGAGATATTTAAGGAGTGGCTTTATCAGTTCCACATACCCAGCGAGTTTCTATGGCCGAGTGGGGATTAGAGCCTAGGCCTTCTGGGTCTCAGCCCATCATTCTATCCACTATACCATACTGGGTATCATTTGTGTTCAGAGGTGTTTATGTTTACCAATGTATTGGGATGTGGGGGAAGGGAGACGAAGTCTTTAATAGCAAAACAATCACTGCCAGAAGTCTCAAACCCAGTGGCAATCCGGCAGCAATCATGTTGCAGAGTTTTGAATTGTTGTAGTTTTGAATTTTCTAGCTGTACAGGGATTAACAGAGCAGAACAGGTTCAAATCCTCAACTGGCACTTACAGTCTTAATAACTCACTCGGCAACATAAGTAAGGAGGAGCCTCATGGCACAGTGAATAAACTGCAGTACTTGCAATCAAGACTGTTCATGACCTGGATTCGATCCTGGTCTCAGATAGCCTGCGAAGCTTGACTCAATCTTCCATCCTTCCAAGGTTGGTAAATTAAGTACCCAGTTCACTGAGGGCAGGGGGAATGCGTAGCCCACATAACTAAGCTGTAAACTGCCCAGAGAGAGCTTTAAGCACTATGGGTGATATATAAGCAGCACACTTTGCTTTACTTTAGTAGTAGAAAAAATAAGATTTTTTTAGAAAAAAACTTTATTTAAAGTTGTGAAAATCTAACAGCAAAATAACAAACAGCTGACTGCTACAACAGACCTCAGCAAAGTCAAGAGAGAGAAAGAAGCTCAAAAACAAAGCTGGGGGGCTCTCTTTGAATTTAGAGGCAGGAGGAAATGGCCAGCTACTTCTGGATAGATTGACAGTCATCCCAGACTAGATAGGTCCCTGCCACTCAAACCTACTAAAGGAAGCAGGCAAGATCACACATCTCCAACAGATTTTTTACTACTAAAAGCTAACCCACCACCCCACATCCTGAGGCTCCCAAAGGCTTCCTTGAGACAAAACGCAGCCCTAGGAAGCCTCAGAATCTGATAGTGGGGCACAATAGAGAAAAGTTTCAATTAAAAGTTTCTGGTGCCCAATCCAGGTCACACCAACAGGATTTTGCCAGTTCTATAAGAAATTGTGCCTTACAGCGTAAAGGCATGCAACAGGATTTTGCTCAGTGTTCAGATAAACTTATTGTAGGAGCCAGAAACTGGACAATATGGGAATAGATTTCCCATAAAAGATTATAAATGGAAGTCAGTGGTACTGTCACAATTCCTCATATGTAAAACCTAGTAGAAACTGGCACTTAGTATGCCAGAATAGACTTGTTCTCAGTCAGTCCTAAAGATCACTGATCAGTCTGGAACTCTATTACAAAAACTATTCATAATTAAAAGTTTCAGACTAACTGATTTGGCAGAAAATTTGGCAAAGTAATTTATTAATAATTCCAACAAACAGCAACATAAATATAGATTTATGTTTCAGGTTTAAGGACTGGTTTGCTCAGTACTTAAGATTATGAAGAACATGTACGAATTAATGTTTCACATTGGAACATAAACAATACAATCTTGCATAATATAAATATTGTATTATGAGTGACATTATTGTTATTTCCACAAAACTGTAATTAAGTGTTGCGGGACAATAGCATAATGCAAATAGACAATGTAAAGCATATCATTTTAAAATACTATACAAAGTGCAGCTTTGTAGAAATTATATATTTGCTTTACAAAGCACATAAATCCAACCATAGGAAAAGAGTCACAGATGTTTCAAGAGCAATGTTAATTTCCCATACAACATCTTGATTTTGTGTATCTTTATGTCTTTCACATGCAAACAAAGTTAATGAAGGTTATGTGTAAGTATAGGCATATGGCATAACAAAACTTAAATTCTTTAAAAAGAACATATTTGGAATTCAGAAATTCTGCATTTCCTTTCTCTAGACAACCACTCCATTTGGAGGATAATAACCCAGATAGGCGGGATATAAATTAAATAAATAAATAAACAAACAAATATGTTCACAGGTAATAGGCTTCCAAGTCACAGACACTGGAGACAATGCTTCATGGCATACCTTGCTTATATCAAAAAGGCTTTTGACTTGACAGTTGCAAGGTGAGGGTGGTTGCTAGAGTTCTTATGTCTTATTTTGTTCCACCAAGTCAGTTTTGTTGTTATTCTGATATTCAAAACTCAGACTTACTTAAATTATACTCTTTTTTAAAAAATACATCCACGACAATATGGTTTTCATGTAGATAGAGCAGCTGCTTATCTAGAAATAATGGAGGAGAGTAGGCTAAAGTGACTGACTTTTAAAAAATCTTTGATAAGATAATGAGAAGCAGTCATTACTGGCTAACCAATAATTTAGCTGCTCAAAGAGCAACAGCACATTCACTACGCAATTGGTCATTGGAAGGCAGACATGGGCTTCATTTGAAATTTTGAGGCACACATCTTGGAGGAAATTCAGTTGTGGGGTAAAGAACTGGTTAATCTTTTGGAATATGTATTTCCCTTAACATCTAATTTGACCCGAAGAGCTTCTCTTTCATTGCGTTATAATGAAAACTGCAATAAATTGGGAGGGTGGGAGGGGACAGAAACCCTGCATTGTACAAGTCTTTCCTATATCTTCAAATGCTGTTAAAAAGTAGTATCTTAATTACCAGCTCCCTTTGCACCAGAAGTAAAACATCCTATTCTGTAACTCAGACTGGTAAAATTATACCTGCATCACAGACTTAAAAGACTTTAATAGTTCTTCCCTCCCCAAAGAAATTCTGGGAACTCCACATCACATTATTGGCCAATAATTTCCAATAAAAACATCCAATGCTTAAAATGGCATAATCAACCTAATTCAGATTTGTAGTCTGGGTACCTCTTAATTGTACATACACTGGAAAATGGAAGGACAGGTCTTCAAAAAAATTCTTCTCATTGTTATAACCTCTTGCTTATAGTACTGCCAAACAAGAGCTTTCTGTACCCACAATATCTCTACATTGAAAAGAAACATATGCTTTTCAAATATTTGCTGGTTTGAAACCCCAAAAACCGATTTAATTGTTCTGTATTACTTTCCCCAGTATGTTTGGATATCCATGTTTACCACTCAGTTGCAGAAAAATAAGTCTTTCAGACACCATTAAGTCAACTCTTATACACTGTACAGACCTCTTCTCAACAGAACTCTGCCCGCTATGAAAAAAGGCATTTCACAGTCTCCATATATAGTCTATTCTTTATTGTATGTATATATGTAGTTAAAATCTTCAAGTGCTTGCCAACATTTCCCTGGACTACTTACAA